GTGACACGGCTTCCATTACTTTAATTATTTTGTTGTTCCGTATCCTCATTTACTTTGTATTCTTTTTTGTTTAAAAAATAACTGACAGTTATTATATGGTGTGCTCATCTATTTAGTAAACATCGTTGCCCACATCGGCCATATGGTGTTATTGGCAAAAGTGATCAACCGTGTGCTGCAACAGAATATCGTTCGGAATTCGTTCCACGTGAAGGTGGTATACGTGAATCATTTAAACCTGATTATACAGTACAAACAAATACAGCACCTTTGGACGATGAAACAACACACAAGTATACTTATAGAATGAAAAGATCATTGTATAATTGGCTTTTTTAGGCACGATTATATAAAACATGCGCTTGATAAACCACGTTCATTTAAACCTGAAGAAGTTTATGTTCCTCGTGGTGAATTTGATGCTCTAACAAGCTATAACAAGGAATACACACGTAAAAGAAAATATAAACGATTTCTATTCTTTAATGTATCTCGTTTGCTTTTATATTTATTCAGCCAAAGGTGGTGAACGAGCAAAATTAATTAAACACGAAGCTCAGAAAACAATATCGGCTCCATTTGAAGGTGACCCAACATACAAAGGTATGTTAATTTGACTATTATTTTTTTTTTATCTTTTTCATTTTATCACACATCAATATTTTGTTTTTAATAGCTGACTATCGTAAATGGGATGCTAGTCGCACTGAACCAATTCGACACGATGGTGGATATGTAAGCTTATTTTTAAGTATAATTTCTGTTTTCAGTTCTATTTATTTTCTTTTTCGTTCAAGGTCGCACCATCAGATCCATTTAAAGGTTCAAGTACATATACAACAGATTATTTGAAACATCAATCAGCAATGCGTCAAGCTATTCGACCTGATCAAGCTGTTTTACAATCGCAGGAACCATTCGATGATCGTACTGGTTATCGAACAGATTATATTCGTCATCCACAACAGGAACGTTTTCAACGTGCTAAAGAAGAATATGCACCAAATAAATCAGCTCTAGATTCTTTAACAACACATAAAAAAGACTTTACACCAAAAGAAAGTTAGAATTTTTAAATTAAACATATTTATATATACACATTTGATAATTTTTACTCTTTTATTTTAGTGGATCGTACACGTTCAATGAAACCAAATCAACAAGGTTATCAATCAAATGCTCGTTTTGATGATTCAACAACAAATAAAAGTGATTTTAAACGATGGGAAGTTCAACCAATTCAAACACACAAACCAGATGAATATCGAGCAAAAACAGGTGATATGGATTTAAATACGATGTATAATTCAGAATTTACGCCTAAACCATTGGCTAAAGTGAATGCTATTCGACCGGTTGAACGGCGTGCAGTCGATGCTAAATTTGATGCACATACTACTTATGGAGGTGATTTTCGTAAGTGGTCTGGAGGACGACCACCAGCTATACGAGCACAATCTGGTTATGAACCACCTAATATGCCATTTGAAGGAATGTCTACATATAAAGGTAAAATAGAATAATTTGATCTTTAGTTTTGTTTTGCAATACTCTTAATTAGGTCATTATATTCCTCATGCTGGTGGTCCACAACGTTCATTTAAACCAGATGGTGTTGCTTATAAATCAGCAGCACCATTTGATGATGCTACAATGTACAGAACAGAATATACAGCAAAAGAAATCGAACCATGTCCAGCTGCATTTCTTGAGTATGTTGCTTTTATTTATTTATTTACTTATATTTTTCTATCTATGAATGTAAATTAATGTAGAACACCAAGAAGTAATTTTGTACATCATCATACGGAAGCAACTGGTCATAAATTTTATGAAACACAACAAGGAACAGCGCAGTCTCAATATGAACAGCAACAACAACAACCTATTGCAGTCTAATATTAAAAAAAAATCAGGCTATATAAATATCCTTGCTCATGTAACAATGAAAAAGAATTTAATCAAAATACTAAAAAAAAATTATTATTCTTCACCATTTTTTTCTTTTTTTTGTGTGTGCTTCTTGTTTTGTCAATTATACATTTCATTACTTGCTCGTTTATTCATTATTTGAAAGAGCTTTATTAGATGCGTGCATTCTTTTTCTCGCTTCCTGGATCTATTTTTGAAGAAATATACATTTTGTCTTAAGAAATAAAAAAAACAATCTGTTTTCTTCAATGATTGAAGTAATTGACAATAAAACAAAGAAGCTTATTGCCGTTCATACTAATTAAATGACGCATAAAAATAAAATTTTCTTTAGTATTGTATTACACTTATAATAATAACCTTGTTTTATACAGATGTTTTTACTGATTGAACTTTGGCCTGTTCTATGGAAAATAATATCTAGGCAACAGTTGGCAGTATCGATTATGCGTTCATATAATGAACGAGAAGTATTGTACAATAATTATGGTAATAATGTTAGCAATTTTCCTTTCATACAGCAGTATTAAACATGACGAATAGAAGAACGATGATCATTTAATAGATACAGTTCCTCTGAAATCTATTGAAGATATCGAAAAGTGATGTCAATAATATCAGAAGAATCCATATTAATTATAATTTTTAAGTTTCTTCGGTAGAAAAAGTAATTTCATGGTTATTATTAGTATTCATGTTGAACCCACTATGTACTGATTTTCGAAAAAGGAAATCTCTGAATTTCTAACAAATTTTGTTAATTATGAACAGCTAAAAAGTGAATTCTCAGGACACTTGCTGAGAAAATTCCAATGATAACCGTTGTATTAGAAGGTAATGTCTCAGGAAGTGCCCTGATTATCGATTCATTATAAAGAATTTTCCGGGAAATTACCGAAATTATCGAAAATTCTTATTTTTGGGATATATACATCATTGATGGGTTTAAAGTTTTGAGAAGGAGGTGTGATCATCGTGACAAAAATGTGTTTTGAAATCCATTAGAAATCGTATCGGTTAATTTTTAGGCATTTTCCTTTCAGAAATATAGAAAAATGTTTCGGAAAAGAGGGACGATCGCTTGCAGCGTACTCCTCTGAATCCACCACTGGCATTCTCCTATAGATTCATAACTTCATTTATCTATTTCAATGTTAAAGAAATTTGAGAGATTTCCATGATTTTCTTAAAATTTCTTCCTTACCAGTATTTTATTTTTAGTGCTTCGATAATCAGAATGCAAAAAAGTTGTTCTTCTTTTTATAGCACACTTTTGATTTTATTGAGTCTCTTTACTTAATCACTAGACATTTGCATTACAAAAGAAAGCCAATGTAATAAATCGAATATGAAATAGAGCAATAAAGTAAACTTAATTAAAAATAAGCTATGCTTGACAAGAATGAAATACAATTAACACATATATCATTAGTAGTTTTTGGAATATGAATTTACGTATGCGTTGACAATAATTCTTTTCTCGCAGAACAACATTTTCTAAGCATAATTGATCTTAATCTGCAAATTTAACAACACAATGTAATACAATAAGATTTTTTTTTTCTAATGAATTTTGTTACACAGGCATTTCTATATTTCATATATATCTTTTATCTTCCGGTTTTATGATTTTATCTAGAAAAAAATTATCATTTTTAGATCAAGTCGATATTTGTCTCATGATGATATAATAACTAATTGACGATTATCAAGTCTATTATTAATGTTTTGAAATTTACATAGTATTTCTCTTAATGTTAATGCTACTTTTATCAGAAAATCAGTTTTACATCTTTTAAATTTAATGTTTTTTTTTCTATTCAAAATGATAATAACATAATCAGATTGAAAATCTGGTGTACTTGATCATTGTCATCACTACATGTAATCTTTTCTGCATCTTTCATAACTTATAGCAACATCAACAAAAACTATGATATTTATTATTTCTTTTGTTCATGTAAGATTATCAATAATATAATCTTTAGCAATTTTTCTTTCTCGAATAATTCTTTTTCTTGCGTTACAAGTTTTACATTAATCATCTTTTCTTGGCTCACGCAATTTGAACAAGGCACTTGACATTATTGCATAATTCCAAGGACGATTTAATTACCTCGAACAACTAAAATTAGATTCATTATATATATCGTTAATTCTAACACGATATCACGAACTAAAATGAATGAAAATTTTAATGCAAATACTAAATTGACATTTATCACAAATATCTTTCTTTTTATAAAGTTAACTTTCGAATGGCTTCATTATAAAATTCTTCTAATGAAATAATCAATTGATAATGAACAATTTTTCTACGATATTCATTAGATGACATTCACTCACATAGTTGAACAATATACTGAAGATAATAGAAGTTGATTTATATTGCAATTAAACATATTTTCTCAAATTAGAAGCAAAGTTTTCTTGATCATATATCTGAGACTTTAAAACAAAAGATTCTTGAACATATATGATGTCTCGTTAGATTTAATATTATTTAAAATAATTAAGGAAATGAACTTAGTATATGTATTTTATTGAATATACTTATCTTAAGATCCTCAAGATACTAATAATCAATTAATAAATTCATTTTAATTTATTTTCTAATACATCTATATAATAATATCTCACTCTGTTCTGTTTATCCAAAAAAAAATGAAACTGACAAAAGTGAGAAAGTCATATAGAGACAAAAAAATGTTTCTCGTATAAATTAAAAAATTTTGCTTTCGCACACAGAAGTGACAATACTCAATGGCATGAACAACAGCAAAGGATACTACATACACATAAATGTTGTACACTAAAGAAAAAAAATCTGCTCTTGCATAAGAACAAATAAAAAAACACAAAAAAAAAAGTAATGGGAAGCTCTAGATCTGATTAGACCAGTTTTAGAAAAAAAAAGGAAAAAAAAGGATGGCATACGAAAAAAAAGTACAATCCAAAAATATCTGACAACAGACATATACAACATTGACTTATTTTCTAGACTTAAAGAACCAAAAAAGACTAGATCTGCGTATTTGATTTTTATGAAAGAAAAGACAAAGCTCATTTTATGATTTTGTAGGAACTACTTTTGATCTTGTACGTGTTGAAATAAGACTTGTTCGTTTATCAAGTGATGGCACCGACGATACAAATTTCTTTTTATCCTCAATAATAACACTAGGTTTACTTTTAGATTTCGATGGAGGTAGTTTTAATGTTGATGCCGATGAACATGTTGAAGAATTTGATCTAAACTCATAACAAATTTAAAATTAGAAGAGAAAGAAAATTTTCGTTTACTTATTTAAGCTCGTATTAACTGATGATGATGGGGTTGTCATACGTTCATCTTTTTTCTATTGAAAAGAGGAAACAACAGTAAAGAAACAAAACATACAGTGTTCGACGAGATCTACATACAGTTCCTCGTGTAATTGAAACTTTCGCACTGGTTCTGATAAAAAAATTGAATAGAAGATTAAATAAGACTAAAAAATTTTTTAAGATACTTTGATCGAACTGTTTCATTTTTTGTACTTGTAGGAACAGCAGTACTACCAACTGTTCTTGGTCGATCAGCTATTAAAAATGATTTGAAAATATTAATAAGAAAAATATAATGAAATTTTACTTGTTGTTCCTTTCAATAGTATTCGACCATTAGTTAATGTAGATTTATTTATTAATTGTTTCTAATTATTAAATAAATAGATATAATCAAAAAAGAATTATTTTATTTAGATAATTTTACTTCTTGCTTTTGTTGTTCTTGAATTTTCGTTAATTTTTCAATTTCTTCTCGAAGATTTTTAATTGTTATATCATTTTCATTTAATTTATTAGTCATTTCTTCTTTAAATAATTGATATTCGGCAACAATCTTTATATAAAAATATACATAATTCATGATTTTTATCTAAGAAATTTTTTATAAATAAAATTACTTTTTCTAATGTTTCTTTTTCAAGTAATAATAATGTATGATCATTTCGAAGATTTTCAAGTTCAAGATTCTAATTATCAAAAGTAATCGATAATAATATAAATAATGAAGGACAAACAACAAAAATATTCTAATTACAGTTTGAACGAGTAACTGTTCTTTATCAGCAATAGATACATCAAACTGTTCACGTTGCAATTTATATTCTAAAATAGAATTATTCATATGATGTTTCGTAGGCTTTTTTTTCTTAATTGCTGTTATTTACCTTCAACAAGTGCGTCAATAGTTTGTTGATGTTCTTGTTTGAGATTCTCCAATTCAGTCTCATGTGACTAGTAAGAAAAGGTATTCATTAACATATTACAGACTATTGCTTATTAGGTCAATCGGGAATGTTATTATGCAATAGACTGGCATGACCTTCTTTCCGACATACAGAATATTTTAAATGCCGCATCATATACATTCATCGTTCTGCTGCTCTAGGAACATCTCCGATAACTTGCTTTAATCATGATTATCGTCTTATATAAGAGAATGTTCTTTTTTCTGGTTTCTTAATCTACTTGAAAAAGCAGAGCTTTTATCTTTCATGTAATCTAATTAAGTATACTACGATAGTCTATCTTATGAGTTTGTTCCGAATATTAGATAATTACATTTTTTAATAAAACATATTCAAGTTGTAAGTTTTCTTTAGCCTAAAAGGCAAGAAAAAAAAACAAATAAATAAATAAGATTTCAAAAATTAAAAAAAATTTACTTCTGCTAAAAGTTTATTTTCTTCTTTTAATTGTACTAATTCTTGTCGACAATCAAGTTCTAAAACAAGAGAAAAAAAACATTCAATTATATTTTATCTGATGTCATAAAAATAAACGAAAAAAAAAAGAAGAAGAAACTAACGTTTAATAACTTTATTTGCTGATGGTGTAACAGTTGGTGTACATCCACCTAATTTACGTTTATTACTCTTCGGTGTTCCAATGGTTGTATTAACATGCAATAAAGATTGATTATTATTAGTATTAACGGTTGATGTTTGAAGATTTTTTCGTCTTGTCGAATAGGCAAGTATGGGTTGTCGACGATTTGTTAATCGAGCTTTTACGCTAAAATGAAATTCATTAGAAAGAAAAAAATTTAAAAAAAATTTCAATTACTTTGTATTTGTATCGGAACTACCATTAGTTCGATTATTATAATCACCTTCATCAATAAGTATAGGTAATCTTGCAAGTGTTTCATTAAGTGCTTCTTGATTCATTGGTCTAATAGGTCGATTATCATAATCTGAATAAGAATAATCTTCTTGTGAACTCGATATCATTGGATCGAGATCCATGATTTCTCTTCCTTTTGTATCTGAAATAAATGATATCACATAGAAAGTTTTCTTTTTTTTTGTTCTGTTTTCATTTGAAATCTATTTAACAAGTTTAAATCATAATAATAAGTCAATATATATCTGATCTATCTGACAAAAAAAAATATTTTTTAATTATTGCTTGCAGCACGAAAATGATCATCATCAGTTGTTGAATAAATATGACCTTCACCAGAAAGAAAATCTAATGCTTGTCTAAATAATTATTAAAAACAATGAAAACCCATAAAATAATAAAATTCAAAACTTACTTCACTTGATTTTCACTATATTGTTTTAATTGTTTACATATTTCAGTTACACTATAACCTGCCATTGTTGTTACAGTTTTTAAAAGATTAAGAACTGCATTTTGTACTGGTGTAAATCCATTAGATGTTGTTAATGGTTGTTGAGTATTATAATTACCACCGGCATTATTATTAGCTTTTGTCATATTCGTTCCACCCTAATTATATAATAAAAATTTAATATAGAATAAATATTATTCTGTTTTATATTGAACATACAGATTCGCCTTGTTTACGAATGCATATACTTGCATGTATACATTCAATATTATGAGCAACTAATTCATTTAATGATTGCATTTTACTAACATGATGTGCAACAACATGTGATTTACCAGAAAAAACTTTAACTTGACCAACAACTTTTATATAAGTTAAAGGTTTTAATGGTTCACCGGAATCCTAAACAAAAAAAAAAGACAAAAGTAACTGATTTCTTTGTTTGCTTATGAACAGAAAATTTACATCATGCCACCATTTTATTTCAATTACACCACCGGAATGATCATCAATATTATATGTAGCTAAACTTCCATTAACTTCATGATTTGCTTCACGTATTAAACCCATTATCATAACTGTATTAAATTTTAAATGTTTATAAATAAAACAATTATCCGATTCGGAATGTTTTGCATTGAGAATAGTTGCTATTGTACATGTTAATACACCTTTAACTGATGAACGCTATTAACATAAATTATATTTTCGCATCATTGAATATTTATTTGTTATTAATACATACTTGTGCATTAGCAGCATCACCTTCACCTGCAGCTTTTCGTTGTTGAAAACCACTACCACCTCCTTGTTCTAAAAGATTATATTTGAAAAGTGAGATGATTGAAAGTTTACTTCCAACTTACCCCAGAGAGCCATTTCTTATTTATCTTTTTGTTTTGAAGAAGAAATATAGAGATCGAATTAATGATAGATTATCACACACAGAGAGAAGAGATAACACAATAATAACAATCAGTCAGTCAGTTTGTCTGTCTGTCTGATGAGTGCTTTTAATCAGCCAATCGATTTTGATTAATGCCATTTTATGTCTATAGGTGCCGTTTGTTGATGGATAATAAATTTGTTTGTTTAATAATTAGCGCAATTCTATATTATAAACATGTTTCTGTTTATTTTTATATTTTAAAGAATAATTTATTAAATGAATGATTCTATAAAATAAAGATTTTATTCTAAATGATAAAATTTTCTCGAATTATATTACTGAATTTTATTTTTACGTGAATAAAATCATATAAATTGAAAGAATTTCTGTTTCAATGTTGGTTAACTGGATATACAAACAATTAGATTCGTTATGGTTGCTAAACGAGTTAATGGAAATGAAAAATTTGTCAATTCTTCTAAAAGGCATTGAGTAGTATTGAATTGCTGGCTCATGATAAGCGATATAAAAATAATAATTACCAATGAAATACGAGATAAGAAAGAGAAAGAAATAATACAGAAGTATTTTTTTTTACTAAACAAAGGTCTTTTTTACGCATATGAAATCAAGGATTTTTAGTCTAGGTATTGACTTATTAATAATGCTAACTATTGACGTTACTGTATTGTTATGATTCCTTTTTATAATGAAAAATATTTTTCCATAAATAGCTTCAATAATCAATGCAGTACTTATTACGCAAGATAAATGAATTATCATTGTAATACTGGATGATGTATTTGAATAGCTGTAACATGTATTTAACAAAGAGTATGCTATCGCTTGATAGAAACTAGCACTAATACATAACAATAAACTTAGCCAAGTCGAAATAATCGTATATTTTAAACATTCAAGCTCCTCTTTTTGCTGACATTGAACATGATAGAAATTATAATTTTGATTTCTTTGTATCATTGTATGTAAACGTTCAGAAACAATTGTTGGAAACTAAATGGTTGTGTTACATTAAAACATAAACCTATTGACATACATATTTAAAAGACAATAATTTTAAATTATCAAATACGATTTTATTAAATTAATTTTTTTTTTGACAATTAATTGTTGCTGTATTCCATGTTTTTATTACGACTTACGAGTGAAAAGATGCACAAACAGTTGCTAGAGTACAATCTCTTGTAAATATTGTGAACCACAAGATGTACAATGTTTGAAAATGATAATATAATTTTTCCAAGAATAAATATTGTACGAATATAACTATTAAAAAGACCTACATGTATAAATTAATGCAGTACAAACTACAGCATTGATATAATTCTTCGTGAGTTTACTTTCTTACTTGCTCAAGGAACGCATCAAAATTTGTCGTTTTGTGACGTGATGATCTGGAGAACCAAAACTCCTAAAATAGTCGTTAAAACTCGACATTCAAATATCAAGATCGAATCGATACTTTTATTTCAATATTGTTGTGAACATGTTTCATTTTATTATGAATAGCTTTCAAAAATGGTAAAGATGAAAAAACTTTGGCTTTTTGATTTTGAGATAATTAGGGCGTGGATGTGATGTGCATGAGTGAGTCTTCTCTACACCTGAGCAACCAATATCCACACTCACACCCTCACTCAATAGTGGATAAGAATGGTAATTTTATACGTGAGAGTCATTATAACTCTAAACTACTATACTATTGTAGGACATCATAATAGTATTGTAAACCGGTAAACATGGATACATTTAATATTGTCAACAATTGTTTCAGCAACGTAAAAAATTATATAAATAGTCTTATCTATTCAGTCGAGGATCAAGCGAGTCAAAGCGACGAGTGTTACTTGTTCTATTCCAGATAAAAAAAAAGAGATTCTGACTAGATATATTCTACATCATTATCAATCCTACCAATCGTCTCATCGATAAAACAAAAAAAATAAGTGAACTCATTTCAAGAACATTCGATATTTTTAATAATTTCTGTTCTATTCTAGATCATCTTTGTTATCTGGATCTTGGCAATTCGAGACTCACCCACTCCTCAAATCCAGACAAAAATATAGTAGAACATGCGTTGCATGAAGAGGAACACAATGGTCATACTCAGAAATTTGTCGAACGTTGTTGCGGGGAATATGTGGAGAAGAGTAATGCCACAGGAAAAACATCCAAATCAAAACTAACAAAAGATCTTAGGTACAAAATTTTTGAAATATATTGGCGAAAAAAGAAAAAGGATTGGTCAATGTGGTGTCAGTGATTCTTGATTTCAAAGAATATTTTCCGTATATTGTCGCACTGGTGCATTCACCAGTGACAAATAAAAGTGAAAGCTTCAGTTAATAAAAGAATGAACTTTCTATTTTGATTGATCTTTGATTTAGAGAAAAGGAATGCGTAATTTGTGCATAAATCGACAGGATTCTCTTTAGCAAAAACAATTCTGAGTCTATTAAAGTCCTATTCTCTCTCACACGCACATACACAGTTTCTGAAAGCAAGACATCTCTTATTGTGTTTCTGTATTATTAATTGAAATTTCTTTTCTGTTAATAGTTCATTTTTTTCAATGAGAAACAAATATTGTCTTGATCTAACCAACAGAAAAGATCCCCACCTTCAAACGTAAATTTTTGGATGTGGTTGTTGTTTTTGTCATTAACATACAAACTATGCTTTGAATCAAAGACTAAACTATCTGGAAATCAAAGATGTTTAGTGTCATTTCCAATTGCGCCTGATTTATTAATTATAGCTTCTATTATGCCATCACTTACATTCATTCGCTGAACACAATTATTTTCCTCTTCAACAAAATATAAATTATCGAACCAATCAAGTATTATATTTGAAGCACTTGTCAGATTGGCCGCCATAATAACTCCTTTTGAACTGTTATTAAAAAGCTTTTGAATTGTTGTTTCATTTTTGCTGTTAATTAGCTACGTAAACTGTAGAACACCGATTGACGAAGATACGAGTAGGGCTATATAGTTGGGTGTGGGTGAAGAGAGAAAAAGAAGCTACAGGCATAATCACCCACATTCTTCATTTTCACATGGAAGTGGTATTTCAAAAACCATGAGATTTACTAGATAACTGACCTTATTAAGATCATAAATCTTATATAGATACAGGCACTGAAGCGTCTGCTATATTGTAGAGAAAACTGCATCACGATATCTTTCTGTATTCGCGAGCAGTTATTCATGAGTTGAGAAATTTGAAGAAAATCGTCCATTGTAATGTACGCTGGTATTCAAAGAGTTAATTCAGGTGTCTCTATCTTGCTCGCGTGTTCAGAAGCAAAATCATTTCTGATTTTATTTGAGATAGAAAAATAGATTTTAAATGAATCAGACAGATAAAATAAATAAATAATGAACAAATATAAGTTAAATAGATGAATGAAAAATTTTATTTAGCAAACTCTTCAAAGTTTAATTTTACTCTTATCAGCATCAAGTTTAGCTATCATATTCATGAAACGTTTAAGATGATCAGTATATAGATATTCTTTAGGATATTCAAAAGTTTCGCATTTAATAAAAAAGATTCTTTGGTTTGAGACGAACTTGGCATCTTCATGTACCGCTTTACGCTGTTGACTAACCATTTTCTTGATGATCTTCAGTTCTATTTCCGGTCCAAATTCTTGTTTTAAATCATATTCTATAGAACCAAACAAATTGCGTTTTAATTCATGATTCTAAATAAATTCATCTTCAGTTGGATCAACGATATCGTTCAAG